AACAAACTTCTGACCATTTCAAAATCGAAAATATTGAATTACATGATTTATTATTTTATAGTTCTCTACCTTTTAACTTCTGAATATTTCAAATTCTGAAACATCGAATATGTAGTTCCTCTAGATTTACGTGATTTATTATTTTATAACTCACTACTTTTTATAACTTCTGAGTAATTCAAATTTGAAATATATAAAAATAGTTTTTTGTGTAGTTAATAGTGAAATATATAAATAGTACTTCTAGAATAAACTTCGGATCTTTTCTTAATCAGAAATATCGAATAGTTCCTCAAGAAGTTACATGATTTATTATTTCATAGCACAATTCTTTTTAACATCTGAATATTTTAAATTCTTAAATATCGAATAGTGCCTCTAGAATTTACACGATTTATTATTTTATGGTTCAGCACTTTTTAACTTCTGAACATTTCCAAATTAACCTTATCGAACAGTTCCTCTTGACTTAACTTCCGAATATTTCCTCTGGAATGTTCATAAAATTAAATTTGATCGATTTATTATTGTAAAGAGCAATACCTTGGATAGATTTACTTGACGAACTCCTTTTCTTTAATTTAATTTTTTTCCGCAACAGCAGAGCTTATATCAACCCTCGGAGTGCTGGGAAGTTAAAAAAAACAACATTTTAAAGTATGTTACTTACAAACCATCGGCCATGCATTCGAACCCGGGACAAAAGTGTTTATACTTATAGTATAGATACTTGTATAAATAGTTGTTTATGAACACTCTGGATCAAGGTATGGTCTTGAAGAAGAAAGCAAATTTAGTTGCAACTGCCAAGCATGTTGCTGTCTCGGTCTACAAGGAAATTTCAGATCACCTCTAAAAACTTAAATATGACCATCTGTAGACATATTTAAGGTTGTTTTGCCCTGATGATGACCTTAGAATGGGTCGAAAGCTTGGCAGTAACAACTAAATTTGCTTTCTTCTTCAAGACGATACCTTGATCCAGTGTTCGTGAGTGAAAAAGTGATCGGATTAATAGTTGTGTTATTGTGGCCTTCTAAGCAAGGGACAGGACTTAATATGCTGGAAGTATGATTTATAACCTACCAAGTTATTCCGTTAATTGTTTTATTATTTTATTGTATGTATTTATTATTTTCCTTAACTTATCCTTCAAGAAAGCGGGAAATCGGTCACACGTGGTTAACGCCCAAAGTACAAATTGATATTTCCGCTAGATTCCGGGGCTAAATAAACGTTCCTACGATGATGGTATTGTGTTATGTATGCACAGGGCGAAGGTGAAAGTGCGGGGGGAGGTTTGAGGTTTACGGAGAGATCAAAAATACGTGGAAATAAGGCGTGAATCCATCACTTTCAATAGCAGAGAAAAGGATGCCAATTAAGGTGTTCCCGCTCTTCCGCGTGTTGGGTGCGGATTTGTTTACAATCGAAGGACCCACCCGATAGAAGGACGCCTTTTAACGCCATCGCGTTTCAAAAGAGCGGACTTCTAATTTTAAGCAGTTGGGCAACGGGTTCGCTTCGAAAAGTGTAGAAACTAAAGGGTCTAAACAACCGACATCAGACAGCAGGCGGCGTTAGATAACCCGCGGATTCTTACGTCTCTAGCAAATGTTTGATGTGCTTTTTCTGCGATGACTACCAACTTCGAAAGAAGGAATTTTAACAAATATTAAACGAACAACCTTTATGCCGTTTGATTCCACCAACGGTTGTTGAATTGGAGACTTGATGCAAAATATATATTAGTTTAAATTTATTTATTTAACTAAAACTTTTTTCTTGCAAAACTTGTTAAACTTAAAATTTGCAAAAGAAACTAAATTTGCAACCTTATTAGAAAAATTCACGGTAGAGCTTGGAAAATTTCATAAAAACTTCTTCGTTTAACAATCTTCCTAGTAGTTGACCCCTTTTTTCATCACAATGTACAAAAATGCCAAAATTTTCTGCTAAATGGGAAAAAAAGAAGTGACGATGAGAAAAACGTGGAGTGGTTTATCTAATACTTCCACTTTTTGTCCTGGGCAATTTTTTCCCCCAACTTTAACCTACTAAAAAAACAACGACAAATTTAAAGTAATTTGGTTATTCGCTATGCTTATTGTCTCTTTTTTTATCTGTTTTGTCCCATTTCTCTTATTTTTTGTGCTTTTTTATTAAATTAAAGATGAGAAATAAAATTTGCCCAGAACAAAAAAGTGGAATTACTAGATTAACATCGCTCCACCTTTTTCATGCCGTCGGCATTTTGGTTCGATGTAATTAAAGAAAAGGATATAAGAAACTTTATTAGCCAACCTCTACCGTGGATTTATCCAGTAAGATTTCAAATTTAGTTTCTTTTACAAATTTTAAATTTAGCAGAATTTAAAAGATTTAGTGTTTGCTTTTTTGCCAAAAATTAAATTGAAAGTTCTAAAAGGGTGGCTTTTTAAAGGAAATTTAATGCACTTTTTTTGGATTTCCCAAAAAATGAAAAGTTCAAGACCCAGGAGTAGATTTATGGCGAAAACCGTAGATATTTGAAAAGTATATAAAACTTTGAATATCGGCGAAAGGATTGAGATTCATACGAACTGTTTTGTTGCATATGAGATGAGAAATTCACTGGGAAAGTTTGCCCCACGAGTAGCCTGACTCCCTGCATAAGCGCTTATATTTGAAAATATTTTTTTCTACTTAAAAATTAAATTCTAAAACTAAAACTTAGGCATATTTTAGTTTCAAGCAGCAAAATTAAAAAACAAGGAGTGGAGTATATATAATAATTCTTCTTTTTGTCCTGGGCAAAGTTTTTTCCTAACTTAACTTAATAAAAAAGCACAAAATCAAAGAAAAATTCAACGAAATTTGGTTATTCACTATACTTATTGCCTGTTTTTATGTGTTTTATTGTTTGTCTTTCTTTTTGTGATTTCCGATTAAATTAAAAATGGGAAATAAAATTTGCCCAGAACAAAAAAGTGGAATTTCTAAAATAAATCCATTCCAACTTTTTCATACCGTCATTACTTTTTTCCCATTTAGCAGAAAATTTCTACATTTTGGTTCCATGTAATTAAACTAAAGGGCATACATCTAGAAACCTCATTAAACCAAGAAGTTGTTATGAAATTTGCCAATTCTATCGTGAATTCTTCCAATAAGGTTTCAAGTTTAATTTTTTTTACAAATTTTCAATTCAAAAGATTTAATGTTTTTTCATTGCCAAAAATTAAATTGAAAGTTTTTGAATAGTGGCTTCTTAAAGGAAATTTAGTGCTTTTTTTTAGATTTCCCCCAAAAAAATGAATAGTTCAAGACCTAGGAGTAGATTTATTACGAAAACCGTAGGTAGTTGAAAAAATATAAAATGTTGAATATCGGCGAAAGGGTTGAGAATGAGACCCTGTCTTATACGTACTTTTTTGTTGCTTATGAGAAGAGAAATTCACTGGCAAAATTTGCCAAGCGAGTAGCCTGATACCCTGTACAATAAGAGCTTATTTTTGAAAATATTTTTCTGATTAAAAATTAAATTATGAAACTAAAACATGCCTAAATTTGCAAAATCGAACAAGGTGTGGAGTTTACCTAATAGTTCCACATTTTGTCCTTGGCAAAATTTTTTTTCCTCACCTTAACCTAATAAAAAAACACAAAAACAACGAAAAATTTAAAGTAATTTGGTTATTCACTCTGCTTATTGTCTCTTTTTTATGTGTTTTGTTTCATTTGTCTTTCTTTTTGTGCTTTTTTTAATTAAATTAAAGATGAGAAATAAAATTTACCTAAGACAAAAAGTAGAAGTATTAGATAAACTCCACTATACTTTTTTCATGCCCTCACCACTTTTTTCCCATTTAGCTTATAATTTCTGCATTTTGGTAAGATGTAATTAAACTAAGTAGCGCTAGAAACCTTATTAAACGAAGAAATTGTTATGACATTTGCCAAGCTCTACCGTGAATTCTTCCAATAAGGTTTCAAATTTAGTTTCTTTTATAAATTTTAAGTTTCAGAAGAAGTTGAGGCAAGGTCTTAGTTTAAAAATTCGGACAAAACCGGGCGAGAAATTTTTTTCTGACTTCGTTCACCTTTAAACGTGACAAAATTTATAAAATGATACTAAATCATTCAACCGGCATCTGTACTGTTTGCATATCGGTACTCGCACAATTTGTTGTTAAGTGTAAAAGAAAAAAATTGAAAAATATACATAGAATATTATTAATAACAGCTATCGAACATTCATTACATAGTTTTGAATTCGAAAATTTATTTTATTTTTATTATTATTTTTTTATATGTGAATCCGTTATAAAATCGACTTGATTCTGAGAAGATGCCCTTATTTGGTAGTCCCATTCCAATAGGGCAAAGTTAAACAAATTTTATTGGGATGCAAATAACTGTTTGATGTTTGTCTCCTTCGAGACTTTTAATGAGGTATTTTTTCTTCTAAAATTTAAATGTTGAGGTTGTGATTTGATATTTCTAACTCGACCCCCGTGGACGGTTCAAGGCGCAAAGTGAGTCGACTGGAAACTCGTTACAGCCTTGCGAAATACGATCCAATGTTCCGAACATTTGCATCGTTTTGCAATTGGTCGATCCTTCCAGTCTTTCCATCCGCGCAGGTGTTGTTTACCGGAGTTTTTCCCGTTAAAAAATCTCATTTTTGTCCAATCCCGGGTCTCGTATCGGAATAAATCAAAACGAGGTGTCGGACGGGGAAGAATTTAGCGAGGCCCGTTTGACCTTTTGAACTGTAAATAATCAAATGGCAGAGTTGGAAGAGGGGCTTCATCAGTGGAGGCTCGACACGATCTTTTCGAACAGAGATCACGACTCCTTGAGCAACTGGCTTATACAAGACTTTCCTTCCGATTTAGCTGCTCGAGATACGGCGGGAGAAGACATTTGCGAAAAGGGGAGCCTAGGATGCAAGCCGTCGGGCACATGTCAGTAACAAATCCTCGTGTTCTTTTTCCCAACAAGTGAAAGTTACTTACGTGTTTATCGTCGTTGTCTCGTCGACTGAACGCCTCTCGAAGCGACCCGAGGGCTTATATAGTGGCGGGGGAGGGGACCCAGGATCACCGGTGGGGGCCGAGAAACAAAAGGATACATCGTTCAGGTAAAATAACAAAATAAAAAATACAGAAAAATTGATTCTGAGTATCGGGTCCGATGAAATAATCTTTTCACGATTTCGACCCTCTGCTCTCACGCAAATAATACTGCAGAATATTTCAATTATAAGCTCAAACATTAAAAAAACCAAATCGGATTTTCTATCAACCCTTGGTACTTTGTTTCTGCTAAAAGTAAGAGATTAAGAGCATCAAGTTTACAATGAGATTTCTTTCCATCTTAGTGATTCAGCTACTTACCAAGTTGTGAAGAATATTTTTATTTATCTATAACCCTCCAGCACAAAATTACACGAGGGCCGCAGATAATTTTAAGAATTGAAAGATAAATCAGCTGTAAGGGTCTCAAATTAGATCCGCAATACGTTAATTCCATAAAATATGACAATCTCAGTAATAAAATAACTAACGAATTGATCATCGTGATCTTCCTATTGTCAACGGCTTGGATGTTTTTATGTCAATAGATCTTTACCAGTTTACACCTACAGGATAGACTATTTTGGGTCTGATGTTCCCATCTTTACTCATGGGTGTTGCCACCCATGAGGATCTTTAACGTCCGGACTTATCCCCGAGGGGAATTTTCAGACGCCCAGCGTTCTCAAAGAGAACACCAGGAAGATTTTACATGCATGGACTTGTCACATCCCTTGGCTAGCGAGGTGGTGCAATGCTAACCAAGTTCAGAAGTGCCTTGAAAAAGGCAGTTTTGTGGTTTCCGGCACGACCTTTCAGCTATTTTGGGTCTGCTTTCCCGGTTACTCATCGTCAACAAGACAAGAGGATCTTTAACGTCCGCACCTAGCTCATGGCCTTATCGGACGTTTTGATTCTCAAGATGAGAGCTGACGCACCTCCGCATACGAGGGAATAGTGTTACCGCCGCAGCATTGGTGTAGTGGTGTCCCGGCCCCTAAGGGTCGGTAGCCACGCTTTCCGCTTGTCCATTCCGATTGGTCGGGCCCGCATTGTGCGTCGGGTCGTACGCCGCACGCGAGGGGCTAACGGGCCGAAATACATCAGCCCGTCCCCCCCTTCGCGTACTCCCTAGATAGAGAAGGCGACTCTATCTCTGTGAGTGTAGAGGCTCCTCCAGCGTAGAAACTTCCGGGAACGCCCCGACAACGGTTTCGGATTATAGTGGGATTACCCACCCCCTAGATGAGCACTGTCTACGGTAAAAAGTCTCTTATCGAGCTCAGCCTACACCTGCTACACGCATTCGAGGGACACCATAGGTCTAGCCTAGGTAGTCCGATCCTTCGCTTCCCCAAGGGTACCACACCGGTCATACGCACAACAATGCAAAGCATACTCGAGTCAAAGACGCCGACTAACTACCCTTTTCCAATCGCTTACTTACGCATTCGAGGGACTGTAGCATGATCATGACGTCCTCAACGCTTACATGTTGTCATCCGGTCGCAACGTCTCCCGTGAGGAACGGGGGGTAATACATTGGCCATACGCAAGCTTTACGAAAGGTCCCAAATAGAAGACAGCCTCTGTCTAAGTTCCCGCCGAGCTATTTTGGGTCTGATAGATTTACGTCTTTCGTTTTCTTAAGCGTTTTAATCAGTGGACCCTAGTTATAAGGGTGAAGCATCAAACAACTAACCCACCGCTGAAGATTGCCATGAACCCTGGTCCTTTCAGATCATCATAGTCTGCCTATTGTTGATATTTTTAATCTGATTGATGCGATTAAGTGTTTCGCTATCTTTAGCAGTTGGTGTAAGCAGAGTGAGACAACAACAAGGTGTACATGCAATGTTTGGGATGTGTCACTGGGATGGGATCACTGCGGCCGTTAAGAGCTATTGTATCCCCCATTCTGTACTTACAGCACACCAGTGGTTTCTAGTTCATCAAGGAACTTGATTAATAGGTTGAATTTCTCCTACGGCTACGTTGTACATCACAAAACACTTCCTTCTGCGGTCAAAAGTGGTGCCATAGTTTGTTAGTAGGTGTATTGGTGTCTATTCTACTTATATGCAGAATATGCCCGTCCCGTTCTTCTTCAATTTCCCATTCAGTCTGCTGTGTCCTGTTGTCCTGTTTTCCTTCCGATATTTGCTAGAGGTTCTTGGATTGCTTTTGTCCAATTTGTTAAATTCCACTGTATCCTCATTTTATTTTGCCCTTTTATCTAAGGTACTCATCGATAGTGTGAATCCCAAAGCCACAGAAGGGCTCAGGATTTATCAGCGGTACGGCAGCCCCTTTCCTGGCACGGGCTCTCTTGTTGCCCTCGTCCTGGGACCCAGCAAAGAGTGACTTCATTTTTCATAACTAATCTGTTTAGTTTAGTTTTGCAATTTAGGAATGCTATATTCTTGTTTTTGCACTCTTTGTACAGAGTGAACTGGGTTCATCACTCAATCGCATGACCTTCAGCCTGGAAGATATTTGAGTATTTCTTCCTGTGTTCTAGATCCATCCGTACCAGCAAATGGTGCCATTCTCAACAGAGGGTTTACAAACAACAAACTCACCCCTATGTTGTAGACGACAGCAGTTAGTTTATAAAATTTCAGTATACAAATGTGGTGTAATGGATACTAATGTTCAAAAATATTCGCTTTAAAAAATAATAGCTTCTGTTTTTCTAATTACAATTCTTGTCAGTCTATACCCGCTGTTTTGGTGTGTTTAACGCGTTTCGGCATTTAGGAATCAACGATTGGTTAGGGTTATAAGCAGCGTGTTGCTAGAAACCAATTTCCTAGCTAAAGCCTAAAGGCGCCTGGCAAATCAAAACAGAGAAAATAAACGGACAAAATAATGGGAAATCACAATATAATTAAATTATTATATTCGAAACTACTAATTGTAAACTAGTATTTAAATCGTCATGAGTACATTTTATAATATTGTAATGTAGGCTCTCAAGAGTAATTTAAAATTTGGTATGTACCGTGTTGAAGTCTGCGAGGTGATAAGCCTTAGTTGACGTATCTGTTCTGTCCTGTTCTTGCTAGTTTTTGCCGTCAGACGGATTCAGTATGATAACCGTCTTGTCCTTTTTGTTTTACTGCACCTAAGCCGTTGCCGGCTCTTTACAGTATTTCATTTCTTACAGCTTTCTTGCTTTTTTATTATAGACGGAAGCTGTTAATAGAACGTAGGGGTCAGAGAGAGAGGAGGAAAAAACAAAAAAAAAAAAAAATTAAAAAAAAAAAAAAAATTCCTCCCATCCCACCACCACGGACCCGCCCGGGACACTGTTCCTATGCCGTTAATCGGCTCTCTACAGCGCCCAAGCAGCCGGCGCAGCAGAACGAAGAAAAGAAAAAAAAAAAAATTACCTCTCACTCTCCCCAATCTGTTCTTTTATGTACTCTGTATGTATATATTGCTGTTTTGCGGTCGCATCTCAACCTCACCTGCCGAGCTCTTCGTCACAGCTGGTGATTATCTGGACCAGCTGCGTCCGGGATGGGCCTCGCGGAGGCGGCTCGTAGGGATTTTATTTTCAGGTGAGGGAGGTATTCCAACTTTCTTGTTGGTGCTTCCTCTTCTTTATGTGTTCCTTCTTTGCGACGACTCCGGCGTTCAGTCGCATGGCTCTGTCCCTGAGCCAGGAAGAGGACAATCTTCTCTCGTTCGGCCATGACGCGGGATTCAGCATGAACAGTCTGAGAGCCGTGACAGTTCAGCTGCGCGAGTTTTAACGACGGTGTGGGGGTATGTAGCGGGCTAATCATACCTCCATTTGGACAAGGGTCTGCGGTGATGATTCATAATCAGTGGCGCACATCACGCCCGCCACCGCTCTGATCTGTGCCTCACAATACTGTGAACCTGCGCGATGATTGTGAGCTTTGCCTATACGTAGGCAGTTCGCGCATTTTTGGGCATTACTGTTGCACTTGCGGGTGTCATGGCTATCTGCGCAGACCCCGCAAGTGGGGCCTTTCTTCGAACATGCCGAAGCCACATGCCCGTATCCCTGGCAGTTGTAGCATCTGGTAACTCCAAGATACTCCCTAACTGCACACGTCTGGTAGTCGAGGTTAACCCGACCCCGACCGATGGCAGATTTTAGCGTCTGCGGGTCGACCTCGACGACCCAAGACACGAATTGGGCGTCTTTTCGGCTAGCCGCGCCGTATCTCACTGTGAAGAGGGGTCGGACGTTTTCTTTAGTCCATACTCCCTCATCACTATTATTTTCAACTAATTGGGTCGCGATTTCCTCTGGCTTATCCTCCTTCGGTACTCTCAGTACCAGGAGTCGAGGATTTCTCTTCCCTACTCCGCGGGCTTTTAGACCAGAGTGGCCAAGGGCAACGTTTTCAAGGATGGCCTTACAGTCATCCGTAGTGGCGGCTTTAATTGCCACGCCACCCTTTGCGGTGACTCTGATATCTTCCACCCTTATCTTCGTCGACCTAGGACCCACCCTAACCATCCCTAACCATCCCTAATCAGTATGATAACCATAACATCTAACTATATTATTATCAGTTTACAAAAAATAGACCCACTGCTGAAGAGTTGCATTAAAATAAGAGTCAATGTCTACCCTTTCTGGTTTTGGCGGTCATTACCGTTTTATTAATAAAATATACACGGAAAACGTTATATTTTGATTAATGAGCCAGGATCTTTTTAGTGGGTGATACAGAAGACGAAAAAAATTGCCTTTTCGGTCCTTTTTTTGTCCAGTTGAGAAATCAAGCATATCTTGTATATGGAACGATTTTAGTCATGGCTAATTTGCATACATATTTGGCATTTTGATCGTTTTCGGTCATGGTGGAATACCTTTACTCGCTGTCTCTGAAACGCGTTTCGGCATTTTGTTATCCTTACTTCGTTAAAGTCATAAGAAAGGTGCTGTAAGACTAACTCTAGGGTAAAAGCTTAAACGGATCTGACAGTCCGAAAAGGCCATAATAATCGGGAAAATTATGATTAGTTGGGTCGGT